TGCGCTAACTGTTGTCACAGTTAGTTCTGATACAGCAAGCAACTTTGCGGACCTTCGGGTATTAGACATTCGGTAGTATCGGTAAAGAAATGATTTGATCGCCAAAAAAAATGTGTTATATTTTTACACACGACAGAAACTGTGTAACCGGCGAGTGCGTGCACATAGTTAAATACTCATACAAAAGAAAAAAAGAGTCATCAACTGAAGAATAGTCTCCAAGATAGATTTTGGTGCATCAACAGGCGTCAACAGAAATTACGAAAGCTTGGGATTTATTGTTGTTTAACGGGACCACTATTCAAATGCACATAAGTGTCAGTGTCAGTGATGAATTTAATAGTGATAGGTATCTTATCACCTTATTTATACTACAGAGACTAACATTCTGTCGGAAATAATTCCCGTTTTTTGAACCATAACTTGCATCAGTTCTTTCTGTTTTATGCATTAATTTTTAAATGGTTTATGGAATTTAACAAAAAATACGTAACTATTCTCTCTGACATATTCATATCATTTAACATATTAATATCATCATCATCATCAATAATAAACTAACATGATCTGTTTCTCCCTTTCCATGTTACACGAAATTATACACTTGCTTCTCTTACAGACAGGCATTGTCATGGGCCAACAAACCTGAAGCAAAGAGATATTTACTTTTTTAAATAAAAGTTATGCATTGAATAAATAGTACTAGTACAGTTTACAAAGCGATGTGAAACCTTGCTGGTGTTGACATTTCACGTGTTATCTGTGAGCGAACACGTCTCGTCACTGCTTCTTGAATGACTAAGACCTATTACACTCTCTATTACACGTAGCAGAATTTATTCAGCATCAGGAGCAAAAAGTCTTCGAGATGTATGCAAGGGGTTACTATGAGTTGAAACATTACCAGTAATTGGAACAATTATTGAGATAACAATAACAAATGTAATCCGCTCATCGTGCCCAGAGTATTTTCATATCGCTCGTGCTATGCTATGCTTAACGCGTCAAAGTATACGACAACGCAAAAGAAAGCGCTAGACCAGCCACGCGTCACTCCTAATTGAAGGGCTAAAGGTAACAATTGGCTGATTATTGAAATTATATCAAATTATGCAGTGACGCGATAAAATAGCCGCAGAGATACGGATCAGAATCACATGACTACTAATACGTAATGATTGAGTTATGTATCATACAATCGCGTACAATGCGCGTAAATTTCCCCGTATATATATATAACAGAAGAAAGACGCTCCACTAGTTCTGTGTTTAAATTTGCTTTCGATACTCTCATAACTTTTCTTGACATTTTTGATCAATATTGCATTCGCAACTCTACACTGATATAAGCACAGAATCATGAATAAGAACACCTCAACGATTACCTCAAAGACCATCTCAAAGACTACCGCAAAAACCACCTCAAACGCCACCTCAACGACTACCTCAAAAATCACCTCAGACGCCACCTCAAATGTCACCTCAAAGACCACAGGTAGAGATGACTACTGTTTTGCCTTTGCCGTAATCCAAGGAAATTGACCTTTTTTTGTTTATTCTTTCAGGCAAGAAGGAGATAAAAAATGTTTGGGTGTTGATGATATATTTCTCCGGGTATAAAGATGATGATTGTTATGATGTCGACTGCCGCTGTTTCGCGAAAGAGGAACTTGCTTTGACGGCTATGAGGAGTGAAGCGCGGCGGCTTTACAAACAATCGAACATTATCCAAGAGGCCGAAGATAAATACTTTCACGAATACGTTGATAAATCCTCGAAGGGTATAGACTTTGGAGAAAGTTGGGGTCAATCTGATTATAGACGTGAATTTGGTTTCTGCCAAGTTAAACGCGCCAAATTAGAATTTGAATTAAACGAAGAAGACATTTATGATAGCACGGACGAAAGCGAAGATGATGACTCTGAATGAGGTGTGAGGAATGAGTTTCCTAATACACGATGATTCTTAGTGATGATATATTTGCTTTTCTTTATAGTGGTAAAGTTTGTATTGATCATTTGTCAATTGAAATCTTGCAAGGCTCGAGAATCGTCATGTTTTAGTTTACTTTCATAAGATAACATAACCGTTTGCTACCATCTTTTCAGATGGTCGTTACATTGTGTTGAACAATTTGGGTATGATTCAATTACAGTGCTTATGCGTGCATCTTCTGTTCAAGTTAATTTAGCTCAATTACTATTGTTTTGGAAAAGTGTCATGTGTACAAATCTCAGAAAGGATATGTATCCAATTATAATAAATAAACGCATCCAATTTATTAGTAATTGATATAATCAGATTATCAATAAGGCGGTAACGCTTGCTCGTATTACTCATGCAGACTTTTTGCGTAAGTTTATATAACAAACTATGACACGGTGAGTAATTTATAAGCTGATCGCGCCC